GGTTTGAGTCATTTGAATGTTAACTAATGTCAATGTTATAATAGAGACGAATACCACACCAATAACACCACAAATGGGGTAATATTATCCACTTACAAATCACTTCACTAAATCCTTACAAAAAAAATATAAATGTAAAAACCTGCCTTACACACGCACACCCAACATGAGGAAAAAAATCTAAACAAAATTACATACAAAGGCAAACAAATAAACTTCTGAATTCTCAAATCAAAAAAATACAACATACTCAAAATAAAAAGACTAATTAATTTGAAAGAAAATAAAAACAACTTTTCTCCCAATGAAATTTATAAATAATTTTTTCTCTTTTAAATAATTTCATATAGGCGCAGTGCACACAATTTGATAGGGTAAATATTAATTTTAAAAAAAGTGATGTCATAATACAATTTTAAAACAATTTCTTTGAAAGTTCTTGAATCATGACTCATTTAAATAGATGAAGAAAGAAAGGAAATATATAGATATATGAAATCTCTTGAATTATTGAAAAATATTATTTTAACCTCTTAAATTATAAAAGTACATAAATAGATTTTTAAAACTATTAAGAAGTATTACTTTACCTCTTAAATTATGAAAGTACATAAATAGACTCTCTAAACTATTCACCCATTTTATTAGGAATTTCAATCGATACGTTTTTATAGTTTAAGGGATCTATTTATATGCTTTTATAATTTATGAGATCAAAGTGATACTTTTTAATAGTTTAAGAAATTTATTTAGATTTTTTTATAATTTAAGAGGCTAAAATGACATTTTCCAATAATTTAGAGGGTTTCACGTAAATAACCCAACAAACAAACAAACAAACAGCCAAACAAACTTTGAAAAGCATTTTTAGAAAGTGAAAGATCCTAAGTAGGCGATGGAATAAAAACCATACGTCTGTATCAGTATTGAAAAAGAATTATTTTTCAATTATTGTTTTTTCTAATTGATATACGAATAAAAGATATTCTCCTTTGTCTTCACAAATCTCTCTTTATCTACTTATATTTCATTTAATTCAAATTATTCTTATATTTTAATAAGTCTTGTGGGTGACATAATTACCAAAATATGATAATATTCACATTGACAATGTGAATGTTTTGTGATGTAAATATTCACATTATCAATGCAAACTGTAAAATATAAATATTCACATCACTAAGTTGCTAAGTGTTCAAAAAAAATTTGTAAAGGTAAAATTATCTATAAAATACCTTAAATATGAGAATTAGGATTTGGTGAATCAAATATCTAAATAATAGGATTTATTAGAATACAAGAATATGTTATAAACTAATTGATATACAAATATTTACAAAAAGATTTTCTAATAAATCTCCCTTTTTCTTCTCCCTTTATTTATTGTAATGTATCAAAGTTTGGCATTGTATTGTGATAAATAAGAGTAATAAATAGTATATGAGTAATTATATACACACAAAAAATTTATACATAATTTTGACATATAATAATGTGGCTCAATGTAAGTCATTCACCATAAAACAAAATATTCCCAAATATAGCATTCATTTATCAAAATAGTATTGTTATATCATTCTTGTAATATTTTATGTATAAATTTTATATATGAATATCAATTTCCATAGTATATATACATATGCAAATTATGAAATGAAAGAAAAAAACAGTATTTATAAATTATTTTATATGCAATGAATGAGAAAAGAAAAATGGGGATCTTCAAGGCTCTACCAAAACATCCCTAAAAAAAGAAAATCATAAAGGGGTTAGCTTATCTCAAAGTGGATTGAATGGTACTGTTTGGGCTTATGGAGTCTACCACAAGTCCCGTATCGATAATTCAAACAGTTCATCTATGCAAAAACGTTATGAAAAAATTCAGGTTAATCCGATAATCGTAGCCACATTAGTTAATTACATTTGTCTCCCAAAAAATGAATTGTCTAGTTTTCAAATAATATTTGTAGTTCATTTTTTTGCAAATAAATATTATAAAATAACATGGCTATGATTATCGGATCGACTTAAAAGATTTCATAGATAATCTACATGTTTTGGTATAAAAAAAATATACGAGTCAGATCGTTGAGGCGGAACCCATGGTGAGCTTTACGAACCTGAACAGTACGGTCAAATCTACAAAGTGGAGTGGAGATAACCTGCTACCAAAAATAAAAATGCATTTATATTGGAATAACATAAAATAACTATATTTTTAATAGAAATGTAAGTTAGTTAGCATGTAATACAACTCTCACTTGTTCCAACTTATAAGTATGTAATAATTTTGAGTTATTTTCATTCAAAAGTAATTTTTTCTCATAAGTTTTAATTTTGACTGTGTTTGAATTGTAAATGTAAATATCTATACTATTATAAAGTGAACACATAATATGGTGTCCTGAAGCTTCACTCTCCTCATGCCATGTGGCAGTATTTTTTATTTTTTAAAAAAAAGTTAAACAAAGAGATGGGCAAGGCTTGAACCCATGACCATGGTTTAAGTACGACGATTCATACCACTTAAGCTAAGTACACATTATATTATGAACTTCATTATTATTTTTTTTATTGCTACTTATTTAAATTGCACACACATCGTGTGTGTGCCACCCACTAGTATATATATATATATGTGTGTGTGTGTGTTACCAAAAAAAAAAAAGTAAATGAAAAATAAAACTAAGTTTTTTTTCATTTCTTTCATTCATTCATTCTTTTTCTTCTTTTTTTTCTTTTTTTCAACAAAGCCTTATACAAAGACAAAAATACTGGTAATACATATAGACACATTATAAATTAAAAATCGATAGTTTAAAAGTACAAGTTAAAAGTATCTTTTCTAAACTTTTATTTTTATCAAGTTGTAACCATAAATTTTACTTGACAGTTTAACTCATACTTCTACAATAAAAAATTTAAGATAAATGACACTGACCTCCTTGAAATTAGAGTAAATATAGCAAGTTCCACAATTTTTTAGTATAATGTATATGGTGTGAAAATATAAAAATAAATATATATTTTTGAATAAAATAGATGGCAACATCATTTTTTAATCTATATGACTAATGAATTGTTGACAAAAAATGCTAAATGTTATATGAATTAAAACCTTAAATGAGCCAAATGTAATTATATTAAATTTGTGGAGTATTTTCTCCAAAAGACAATGTAATTTACCCAAAAAATTGTAGGGCACTCAAATAATAAGTCAAATTTCAAAATTTTTGAAAAATAGTCTCAAACTCTATTATTTAGAAGCCAAAAAGAACAATACAATTTCAAAAACTATGCAGCGTCTGGTTTTGTTTTCAAATCATGATTTGGATCAAAAAATTTAAAAAAAAAAATTTATTTTTAAAATTCATAACCAAACAAAATTTTCAAAACTCTTTTCAAAAACTTATTTAAAAAAACTCATAACCAAATAAGTTTTTAAATCTCTATTTTTTAATTAAAAAAATTCAAAAAAAAATATTTTTTTATTTTGTTCTTCAAAATTATTTTTTAATTTTTTCAAAAAAAAATATTTTTTATTTTATTTTTGAAAAAGAATATTATTTTATCTTTTTCATTTTTTTGAAAATAATATTTTCTTATTTTTTTTAAGTATTAGCCAAATAATTTGTTATGATTTAGATACATATGGATGATTCAAAAAAAATTTAAAAATTTTAAAATTTTAAAAAATAAAAAATAGTTAAAATAAAAAAATATATTTAAAATACACATAATAATAAAATTTTTAAATATTTTAAAAAATTAAAAAATATTTATTTTTTAAAAAACATAAAAAAATATTTTGTTCAAAAAATAAAAATAAATAAATAAATATTTTTTTACAAAAATTAAAATTTTAAAAAATTTCAAGAAAATAAATTAAATAAAAAATTAGTTTCAAAACTTATAACCAAACAAGTTTTCAAAATATACAACTCAAAAATTAATTTTAAAACTCGTATCAAAACTCATAAACAAATAAATTTTCTGTTTTCAAAACTCATGTGAAAAACTTATCTTTCAAATTACAACTCAAAACTCAAAATTCATTTCAAAAACTAAAACAAACAGAGCCATTTCCTTACATATTTATTTATTGTTCACTTACTTGTCTATGTTTCATATCTGTTCGCATAGTATCTCTATTTATTTACGTGTCACATATTTATTCACATAATTTACTTATTTATTCATATTATCACCACCATCAGTGATTGGCTCTGCTCACTGGTGGTGGTCCGATGACAATGGATAAAAAAATAAAAATAAAATAATTTCTCATTTTTACGAAATAATTTCATTAATCATGATCTTATCATCAAAAAAAAAAAACTTTAAATTTAATGTCATACACACTCAAAAAAAAATTATATTAATTTTTTTAAAATTATGAACAACTCAAATACATTATACCTTAACAATCTTGAAATTTGTCAATTGAATTATGATGAATATATGACTAAAAAGCATAATGTATACAAATTTCTAATTGAAAGCTAATTGAATTATGATGAATATATGACTAAAAAGCATAATGTATACAATTTTTCCAATTGAAAGCAAGCAAGACCTCAAGATTTTCCAATGGGCCTGCTGCCTTTATGGAGAAATGCTTGAATAATGGCCGGTGGCCGACCCCTTCTCTCTCCTCTTTCTCCCTCTTTTTCTCTCTCTTCCATACCTCACAAATAGGAAGTCAGCCACCACAAATACACACACCCCATATTTAATTATTCCCTTAAAAAAAAAAATTAAATAAAACAATAAAATTAAAAATTAAAAAACTTTCAAAAAGATTGAACCAGAAACAACAAATTTTACCTGTAAAAGAGACTATACACATCATAAAGGTACCTGAGAATTTTCTTTCCTTTTTTCATTTTCATTTTCTTTTTCTTTTGTACTGTTCTTCATTTTCTCTACCATTTTAGATCAAATCAAAGCCACAGAGTGAGATAAATAATAATAATAATTATTATTATTATTACAATAAATTAGCTAAATATATATGGGTTTTAATTAATTTTAATCAATTTTACAGTTCATCTCTCTCCTCTCTCCACTGTGGGGGCCTTTTTGCTGCCGTTAGTGATAAGCACGCCTGGCACTCATCATTCCCTCCAAGCCTTCTACTTTTCTCTCTCTCTCTCTCTCTCTCTCTAGACTCCTTGCTGTTCCTCTTCTTCTTCTTCTTCTTCTTCTTGAACCCCACTTTCCTCTTTATCTGTCACCTTTTTTTACTGGGTCTGTTTCGCAAAAGATCGATCTTAATTGGGTTTGAATTGATTCATTAGATTGGATCTGCTGATTCGTTTGCGGATTAGTTTCTTCTACACAAAGGTAATTCGATCTTAATTTTTTTGTTTGTTTGTTTGTTTGTTTTGTTGTTTCGATTTCATTTTCGTTTTAATGGGTTTTAGCTAATTGTGTTTTTATGTTTCTCAAATCAATGAAAAGTGCGTTTTCCCATGTGGGTTCTTGGTTTTGAGGCATGGATTTGTGGAGTTTTGTTCTTTTTTAATGATTTGATTTAAAATAATTCCAGATTTTGATTCTTTTTAAGCTATATGGATGTATTAGTATATGCGAGTTTGTGGGGTTGTTTGGTTAGGGTTTGATCTAATCCTCTGAGTTGTGAGAAGTGAACCATTTGCGCTAATTTCGTGCTTTCTAGGCTAGTTTTCATGGAAAATTCAGATAATTTTAGTTATCGGAAGAAGGAAACCATCTGTAATATTATGTTTGGAATGTTGGAATGCCAATGCTTGGTAACTGTGCAATCATATATGTTTGAGGAATGCTAGAATTTCAAGATCAGGATAATTGGGAATAAATTATTACTTTTCTTTTTGTGGCCCTGCATTTGATTTTGTGCCTATATATAATGTTTGTTGTGAAGTTTTAAAAAACTACCAAATAGTATTTCATTGGTATATATCTAAAGTAAAATAATGAATTTTTTGGTCCCCCTTCTCCCTTTTCGGTTCTCACATCTCCAACCTCAAAATTGCTCACAGTAACATCTGACTCCTGTAGGTCTGCTGCTCCTCTCTCTTGCCCTCCCCTGTAGTCCCCTCACACTTGAGTCAAAATGGCTCAAATTTGAAGCTCATTTTGTTTGAAATGTCTTCATTGTCTTGCTTCCTCTTCTCATTTATTTTTGTTATGTCTCCACTTTATCATTTTCTGGTTAGTAACTAATCTCTACAACATTATATGCATTTGTTGAACACTGGACCAGTTGCACCACTTAAGCATTAATGTAGTCTCATTCAGATAGGTAAAGAAGTAGGTAGATTACGTTAATAATAGAGTCGATAAGGCTTTTGGAGGCCAAGTTTTTGTTTTTTATGTGAAGGATTAGTTTACTCCTTTTGTTAGCATTTGAAGTGATTGATTCTTTTTGTTGGTTTCATTGGATAGCTTGCTTGTGATGAAACCAAATCTGATTGACAAAATAAAGAATTATGAAGTATTAATGGTTTGTGGTCTTTTGATGTTACATTTAGCTGCATAGGCTCACATTGAACTGTTATTAAGTTATTTATTCCAGAATTCTGTGGTTGTCTCTAAAAGACAAATAGAAAGCATTTATGTCTATAGTCAAACTAACTTGGAAAGGATGCTGCTAGACAAACAAAAGTAACCTAGATATTACAAATAAGCTGATGGAAAAATTAGTTCAAGATAAATCAGGTACTATAGCAACATGAATTATGAAAAATTAAATGTGAGGGAACTTTATTTTAATTGAAGCAGTGGAACACATGCATAGAATAGAACATTTTATAGTAAGTTCTTGTGGAGAAAAGTATTAGAAGATCTTTTCTGATAACGAGACATATTTATTGGGAAGAGGTTCGTTCCCAATTTTTTGGAGGTCTCAAATTACTTTTGGAAAAGGGTTTTATTGGGCAAACAGATCTAATCTAACCAATAGGAAAGATTCTTTGTCAGGATGAACTATCGAATGTTAGGTGTAGGTGCACCTTAAGGCATGTGCTTGTATAGTGATATTTGCATATGTAGTGAACATTTTATCCTATATTGGAGAAAGCTCAATGATATTTACCTTTCACCGATCAATCTGGTTCCACTAGATTTATGAAGTAGGGCTATTGATAAAAATGTTCATACTGTTGGTGGTGTAGTCTGATAATCCGAAACTATAAAGTGGTGCTCGAGCTGAGGTCATTTCCCACTCGAGCAGATGTGTCCAGAGAACGACGGTTGATCACTGATGTTGTGTGCTTGGGCAGAGCCTCTGGCCCACTCAAGCAAAGCTCAATAGAGAGGACCATTTTGCTACTGGGCTTGTGCGCTCGGGAGGAGACAGAGTTGCACCTTAGTGGAGGTCACCAACCTGACTGCAAAAGTCAGTGATTTGTCCAGTTTTGATTGCTCTAATTGTATTCCTTCTTGTTTTAGGATTGGATTAAAGGCCAGTACTATATATACTCGATTGTAGCTCTGTTATTCTATGTCTATTAGTATTCATGTTATGTGATTGAGAGATACACATTAGAGAGAGTTTGTGAGATTGAGTGAGACATTGGTGCAACTCATTTGTTTAGATCATTGTGAAACTACAGTGATGCTTTGCTTGGGTGAACGACGTAAATCTCATGTTGCTTTTGTGTTTGCTTGATCTTCGACTCTGTTTCTAAATTGTTGTGTGTGTGTGTGTAATTGTTTGCTCAGGTCTTGGAGATTGTTATTAATATTTATACCATAACACATACTAGGTCAAAACTTAAATCAAACTGTAGTCAGTTTGCTTAGCTATTATATGAGGTTTCATTCGAATCTGCATTGAGTCGGATGGTTGAATTAATTAAATTTGTCTCATGCTTCATCCGTATCTTTATAGTTACTTTTTATTTTTCATATGTTCACCTCTTTAATAATTTCTCAAGTTAGCATTTCTCTTTACGGCTTAGTTGCAATGAGCTGTTTGATTTTTATGTTTCCTTTAGTGATAGTTTTCATCCTTTTATAATCATTTTATGGTGCCCAATTATTTTCAGGGTTCTACCTATTTTCAGTCTAAAGTGCCAAAAAAACAAACAGACAAAGGCAGTGCAAGTAATGGCTGTTTCAATGAGAGATTTAGATCCAGCTTTTCAGGGAGCTGGGCAAAAGTCGTATCCTTTATCTTGGGAATATTTTTAACATGGCAAACTTCGTAGGAATCAAATTTTCTTTTTCAATACAATATCAGAATCAATACATACAGTCAGCCCTACTTTGCAGACATTTTTTTTTTTTTGGTGTTTCCACGTTGGAGGGGTGGTAACCTTTCAATTTCTAGTAGTGTTTATTAGAAACAAAAGGTAAATAAAGATGTTGTACATAAAAAATAGCAATGACAAATGCTGCAGCTGCTATTTCTCTCATTATTATGGATTTATTTATACACATATATTTATTTATTTGGATTTCGATTTGGCCATTTTTGGATGTTCACATTCTGTTGTCCTTTACAACAACATAGTGGAATTGAAATATGGCGCATTGAAAACTTTCGTCCTGTGCTTGTCCCAAAGTCCTCGCATGGCAAATTTTTTACAGGGGACTCGTATGTGATATTGAAGGTACCGTATCTAATTCTGTTATTATTATTATTATTTTTTTCTAGAATGAACTTGTAGTTATGAATATATGTTGCATAATTGACTCCACAAGAATGGACTTGGTCATATTGTGACTAGTGGGTCTTGGAAAACATGTTCTTTATTAATAATCTATGTAAATAATCAAAATGAATGTGCTGTTGCATATTTTAGAGCTATTTACATGTGGTTTTAATACATCTGATTGTTACCTCCTTCACGAGACATTATTTAGGGTGGCTTCCTACTGTAACTCCATGCTAGAATTTCAGCATTTCTTGCTTTTCTAAGTTATGGGATTACTTAGCTTTCTTCCTAATTTATATGAAGCCAAAGCTATACTTGCTTAATGTCAATCACTGGATAATGATATGAAATTAGTAGTTAAAATTTAGCACTCACATTTCTGTAACTGAAGTTTCTTGCTTACATGGATTATTAAAGTCTTTGTGTACTGTAAGGGTCTCTTGGGGGAGAATAAGGGGTTAATCAAGGAAGGGGCTTGTTTTCAATTTTCACTTCTGCATTTCTTCCAAAGTTTCTAGCTGTACTCTATTCTAACAGCATGACATGTGAGATGATGATTACACAAACTATTCAGGAAGGCTGGCATTTAGAATCCAAGAGAAGTGGTAAAAAATGCTAGCATGTACAAATGGTTGAGGAGGTTAGCTTTTCCCTGTTTAGAATTTGTAAAAATTGCCAGTATGCCCTGTGACGTCTACAATAGTTTATATAATTTATAAATCTAGCATGGTTGTTTGGCTTAAGGATGTGGCTTCTCCCTGTAGTAACCCTGTAATAACTCAAACTCAATACATTATCCTTCCGAGGCTGACATGTAATGCTTACCTGGAGGTACTTCTCTCCTGCTTGAAAATCACCAAATTTTCCTTCCTCAGATTGTTCTTGCTTCTGCTAACACTCTTCTTCCAATTGGCACCCAGCAATTGAGTAGTTCAGTCATCACCTGCATATGCATCCCACAACCTAGTATTACTTGCATTATTTATTATCAGATATCAGTTAGTACCACTTCTAGGGGCAGAGTGAGACTATTTCTTTGGAAGAGCCGAAGTAACAAGTATGAAAAAATTCAACAAAATTTGTGACAATTTCCTTTTTAATTTATTTATCTTTAATATAAGAATTTTGCTTCAAATTATGAATGTAAAAAACTGGGAATGTCTGTAACAAAATGCTGTTCTTCCTAAGTGGAATATAAAGTAATTATTTTGTCAAATATGATTCCATATGATGATACTTCACAAACAGGGCTCGAGTCAACCAGAATGAAAAGAAGAAGAATGTGTGGCAGCAATGCGACATGTGATCTATTGTGGTGGAAGGCCACGATGATAGTGGTGCCTAAATAAATAGAAACATATGCTAATTGGCACTTAGTTAAAGCCCAAGTTTATTGTTAAATAGAAAACACATGAAGGATTTATAACTCCAAACTAATGCTAGTTGCATGGCCTTGATCTAAGAAGAGTAGACACTGATACGTGGCCTGGCATGGAAATGACACAAACATGCCTGCACAACAATTTAAAATATATGGTTATATATTTATTTTGTCATATATATATATATATATATATTTCATTCAAAGTCAAATGAAAACGTGTTTGGTGTGGCTTATTTTGACCAACTTATAGAATCTAGCTTTGGAAAAGCTATTTTGTACTTATTTCAAACAAGTTCTAATTCTAGCAACATATTTTAATTTAAAAAAGCTAATTCTGAGAAGCTGACCACCCACTATTTTTGATTATCAGTTTCTGTTGTGGACATGTTAATTTACGGTTATACCCTTCGATTTTTTTATTTTTTTAAAAATAGAAAAAGACCCAAATTTATTATTATTATTATTATTATTATTATTATTATTATTATCACTATTATTATTATTTATGAGAAATGTAGACTAGCAGTGACTAACAAAAAATAAAAATTAATTCAAAAAGCTATTTCAGAGCTTATTTATTAAACACTACTCAGCAACTTAAATCTATAAACTAGCAGCTGCACCAAACAAATTAACAACTTCTGATTAAAGCTATAATTTATAATCCGTTAAGTTATAATCTATAATCTTTTTTAGTAGCTGCACCAAACAACCCCCAATATAACTTGAATTTCTCAAGTTTGAGGGTGGATAATCTAGATTGTTTTTTCTTTTATCATTAGATCCTAAGTTATTTTGATCAAACTTGTAATGTATTTTATATTTGCTTAAACGATGGACATGTGTGTCCCCCAAGTGCCTGAAATGTGTCGATCGAGTCCAAATTTTTTTGTTAAAAATAATAGAACTTGTTTGGACAGGTGTCAGACATGGACACACCATCTTCTTAGAAGTGTTTGTGCTTCTTACAGCTTTGATGGACCTTGGGGGGAGGGGGGGCATGGCTCCTACTAGGATCCCTTACTCTCCACACCTAACGACTTCTATACTTGGTGTTGGTGACTTTAAGAGGTCGTGACCTAGAGCGAAGGCAAATGCTATCCACTCCCAATGCTTTGGCGTGAGTTTTGAGTCATGGGAATCAACCTCTTCACATAAAAAAAGGTGGAGGGAAGATTGCCTACCTACCACCTCACTTGAAAGTCTTGTACAATTTGTAATTTTTTTATTTTTCATTCCTTGGACTCCTCACATATATTAATTTATTGTTTCCTTGTTCTAAAATTTAGATTTTGTATACAAAACCACTAGAGCATATTGAGCAGCATTGGAGCACATATATATATATATATATTTCTATATTTCTGTGAAGGATGTTGCACTCATCCCATGGAATGAGTGGCTCCATTGAGTTTTATGTAGAATGTGAAGGTCCAAACCATCATTCTCAGCAGCATCATTACAAATAATAGCATTTATAATTGAAGAATATTTTGCTTTCTATTGCTTTATACCTCCCCCCACCCGCCTCATCTAGCTCGGGCGATCTTAGCGTGAGAAAATCAATGGAACTGTCTGTAGGTATTGACTTGTAGAGACCATGATGGAATGAACTTTTAGGCTGTGTTTGGTTATGCTTTTAAAATGTGATTCCAGTGCATTTTTCAATGCGGTGTTTGGTTTTGGTTTTGGTTTTCAAAAGTTTATTCTAATGCGATATTTGAAAACTGAGCCTAACCAGTCATCTCCCGGACATCCGGAGGGTTGACCAGAACAGTTTTTTTTTTTTTTTTTACCTGTTATTTTTGATATTTTAAATAAAAAATATTTTCGGAATTTTTTGTAATTTTTATATGAGCTTTGGATAGAATTTTAGGTTGTGTGTTTGGTTATGAGTTGTAAGTTTTTTAATCAAATAACTTTTCTAATTTCAAAAACTTAGAACTCCCTCCAAAACTCAATTCAAAACTCTTTTCAAAACTCATAACCAAACAAATTTTCCACACTCAAATCCTAATTCCAAAACTCACAAACTCAAAATACAACTCTATTCTCAAATCATAATTCTAAAGCTCTACCAAACACCACCTTAAACTTTTGTACTTTAATTTTTCACCATTTATAATTTGGTTGATTCCAAAATACTAGGGAACATGGTTATCTTGGGGAAAGACATGAGAAGTATATGCACAATTTCTTAAACAAAACTTGGACAAACCATATAATCCCTCAGTTAATATCTGCAGCAGAGACATTGGTATATGGCCCCTAATATCTGCACAGCTTGAAGAACTGCTTATATTTTGTATTTATTTCAAATCCCTAATGGCATTTGCTCATACTACTTCAGGTTGGCTACACAATTTTACATCTTATCATTCTGCTCAAATTTTGGTGTCTACTTTTGTTATGGAAAATATATACTGCCACTTATTTGATAAATAAGATTATGTAGTTTATTCATACATCAT